GTGGGCCAACACTTTTTCACACCACTGTATATATGACATGACTCTGGACCACAAAACCAGTCTTAAGTCGCTGCTACAAATATTAAGTCGGTATATTTGTAGCAATAGCCAAAAAAACATTGTATGGGTCAAAATGATTGATTTTTCTTTTATGCCAAAAATCATTAATTACACCCGCTGATTGTAGTGTTTATGTGCACCCACTGATAGAACATGCTGTCTGCATTGTTTAAGCATCCGATTAACTGAAGGAATTGCATGCAAAATGCATTAAGTGCAGGTCATTTGCATTAATTTGCATGCCACAGTTCAGATGAGTGCTTGATCTGAGTGCTCGGTTGTGGAGGATGCAGCAGACTATCACAATCTGACATAATTTACTGGGGTTTCATTCCCCATGTTCTTGCTCTCTGATATAAATGAGAGAATAAATACACTACTGTTCAAAAGTTTGGGGTCAGAAAGATTTTTTTTTTAAGAAATGAATACTTTTATTCAGCAAGGATCCATTAAAATTAATTAAATGTGACAGTAAAGACTGTCATTTAAAGACTGCCGTTTTTTTGCTTTATGCAGCAAAGAATTCTGAAAATCCTGAAAAAGCAGCACAGCTGTTTTTAACATTGCTAATGATGAGAAATGTTTGTTGAGCATCAAATCAGCATATTAGAATGATTTCTGAAGGATCATGTGACACTGAAGACTGGAGTAATGATGCTGAAAATTCGGCTTTGCATCACAGTAATAAATTACATTTTAATATATATTAGAAGTAGAAAACAGTTCATTTAATTTGTAATTATAGTTTACAATACTACTGTTTTTACTGTATTTTTTATCTAATAAATGCAGCCTTCGTGAGCATAAGAGACTTCTTTCAAAAACATAAAAAAAATCATATTGACTCCAAACTGTAAATAAAACAATTCATTTTAGAAATACAAACATTACCTTTATAGCATGTTATTCACATGATTGAACGTTTTTGGAGCTTGTGAAAACACTTCCACTCTGACTATCTAAAAAATTGTCACCAGGCAGCATTATGCAACTCTGCTGTATTATATGTTGATTATGCATTTTCTGCGCATTTAACCAGCTGCTTCTCTATCTGCTGATTCTTTGGGATGTAATTTTGACTTTGAACCAAGCCACATTAACTAGATGAGTTTTAAGGTTATTGTTTTAAAGCAACAATTGTTGATTGTCAGACTGTATGAACATCCCAGCAATAAGCCATGTTACACTGTGGGATCTCAGCTGTCATTAATATCAGACGTACAGTCTGACAGTCAAAACGAGAAGATTCATCCAGAGTTTGACATCTTCAGTGCTCCTGTTGGTTTTTCATTTGACGGTCAAGAACAACCAATTAAAACATTAAAAACTGTGAACGATTTAAAGTTGCTGAGTTCAGATCGAAAATTATATCCTAAAGCGTCAGCTCTTCTATGTTTTCAGATTCAAGAGCAGCTGATTAAATGCGTAATCAATATATCATACAGCTCTCTTCTGAAATGTAAATTAGCATGGACACATTTTAAAATGATTAGGATATTGTGACGTATTCGTTTCTTGATCATACAAATTGTGATGCCTTTCACATCAGTCTATTGACACCAAAATTCTCCTGTTGAAAGCAGTGCTGTCATCTATTTGGCTGATTTAATGCATCTTCCAGAGTTCAGGCTGCATTAGAATGCTGGGAATCAAAATCATTTTACAAGATTTTTAGTAGATAGAGTTTTTAATGAGGCATTTAACAAGTAAATGATAAATCCATGAGCAGATCTGTATCTTCCGCTTTGAAGGGGCCTAGAAACAATATGTAAAGTGTGGATATGCATTATGGATCTCTCATCAGCCTCTCTTTGCAAGTATGGTTGCCAAGTTGCCGTGGATACATTTATACAAGATATGATTTGAAAGCTTAAAAACCAAACTTTCCAGAAATGTCAGTCACTCTAAAATATATACAGTCATAACAAATGTATTATTAAGCCTCAAACTTAGCTGCGACAACTATGAATGTACATATATATATATATATATATATTGTCAAAGCTTCTCTTCTGTTGTTCACATCTTTTCTCTTAAGAAATTTACTTCCCGTCAGGCTCAGTGCACAAACGGTGCCAAGCACGACTTGAGTCATGAATATTAATAATGTTATGTGACGTTCGCACTGATTTGCTGAAAGGTGGATGTTTTTAGGTGAGTGCACTTGCAATAGTGGGATCACTGTTTGCCGCCTGTGCATTCGTTCAGCCAGTCAATTGGCAGATACTTCTGCTGGAAGGCCTTTTATGTGCCAGCTACATTTTCTTTTCCTTCACACTGCAGCCCAGCAAAATAAAACACTTTCAAATGTGATTATCATCTGAGAATTTTTTTTGTTTTTTTGGAGGACAGAGTTTTATGCTAAAGGTCAGTGGAAGTCAATGGTCACCAAACCTGTTTAGTTACATTCTTCCAAATATGTTATTTTCTGTTCCACAGAAGAAAGAAAGTCATACAGGTTTGAAAAAACATGAAGGGGAGTAAATGATCATTTTTGGATGGACTGTTCCATTTATGTTCATAGTCACTATGCACTATACTTTGTCTGATATTTTTCTCACTAACCTCCTTTTCCCTCTTTTTTGTCCAAATACAGATTGCATGCCCCATTTTTGCGGGCCTGCTGCATTTCTTCTTCCTGGCTGCGTTCTCCTGGATGTGTCTGGAGGGAATCCAGCTGTATCTGATGCTGGTGGAGGTCTTTGAGAGCGAATACTCCCGAAAGAAATACTACTACCTGTGCGGCTATTGCTTTCCCGCCCTTGTGGTGGGCATCTCAGCAGCCATTGATTACCGCAGCTATGGGACTAAGAAAGCGTACGTGTGTCTATTTACATTCGGCCATACAAGGGCTGTTGGTTTCTGAGCAGCAGACGCGACCCCCTCTTTAAACAATTTGTTTCATTTAAATGGATTCCAGCAAAATGGCTCTCTGGGAGTTTAAATTCCATACAGTACAGTATCATCTTTCACTAGGAAACGTATACTGGTATTATGTAGTTTGGAGTTCAGTTGGACATTGGTCGCTGTCATGTGATCCTGGCCTAACCAAGGTCATCATGTGAATTATAAATGAAGCCAGTTAAAGATGTTGCAAGCACTCTTTTTTGGAATAGCACGCATAAATCTGATAGATCCTGCTGTGATAATTCATTTTACAAGAACACATCTCAAAGCTGCATCTCACACTATTTTTAACATTACGGAAAACTAATCTTATGTAGGGTTTCCACGGTCATGGAAAACCTTATTTTTATAATCTAATTTTTAAAACCTAGTTTATAATCTAATAAATAAAATCTTAAATAGTTATGGAAATTTGGAATTTCTGTAATGATTTTATTTTTACTCTAAAATGTTTTGTTTTGCTTTTATTTATTTATTTATTAAAAAAATATTTATTTATTTAAAAAAAAATTTTATTCATTTAAAAATATGTATGTATGTATTTATTTATGTATTTTACTTTTGTTTTAAAATGCCTAAAATAATACTATATATATATATATATATATATATATATATATATGGGCCTGCTGCATTTCTTCTTCCTGGCTGCGTTCTCCTGGATGTGTCTGGAGGGAATCCAGCTGTATCTGATGCTGGTGGAGGTCTTTGAGAGCGAATACTCCCGAAAGAAATACTACTACCTGTGCGGCTATTGCTTTCCCGCCCTTGTGGTGGGCATCTCAGCAGCCATTGATTACCGCAGCTATGGGACTAAGAAAGCGTACGTGTGTCTATTTACATTCGGCCATACAAGGGCTGTTGGTTTCTGAGCAGCAGACGCGACCCCCTCTTTAAACAATTTGTTTCATTTAAATGGATTCCAGCAAAATGGCTCTCTGGGAGTTTAAATTCCATACAGTACAGTATCATCTTTCACTAGGAAACGTACACTGGTATTATGTAGTTTGGAGTTCAGTTGGACATTGGTCGCTGTCATGTGATCCTGGCCTAACCAAGGTCATCATGTGAATTATAAATGAAGCCAGTTAAAGATGTTGCAAGCACTCTTTTTTGGAATAGCACGCATAAATCTGATAGATCCTGCTGTGATAATTCATTTTACAAGAACACATCTCAAAGCTGCATCTCACACTATTTTTAACATTACGGAAAACTAATCTTATGTAGGGTTTCCACGGTCATGGAAAACCTTATTTTTATAATCTAATTTTTAAAACCTAGTTTATAATCTAATAAATAAAATCTTAAATAGTTATGGAAATTTGGAATTTCTGTAATGATTTTATTTTTACTCTAAAATGTTTTGTTTTGCTTTTATTTATTTATTTATAAAAAAAAATATTTATTTATTTAAAAATTATTTTTATTCATTTAAAAATATGTATGTATGTATTTATTTATGTATTTTACTTTTGTTTTAAAATGCCTAAAATAATACTATATATATATATATATATATATATATATATAGTTTCCACATATATATATATGGTTAAAAGTTATATAAATCCATTGGTCAAAAGTGTGGGAACCCTAATTTTACTTCTTTGTTTTTGCTAACATTGGGTTGACTGTCATTTCTTTGAGGGGCGGGATTTTGGTGAGAAGGTGTGGTCTAATTTATTGTCTAGCGGAAGTTTAAAAAATCGCTTACAGCACCTTTAACTGAGCTGATTACTGCATGTGTGTGTGTGTGTTGCTCCTCGTGTTTGTGTCCACACAAGTGTGTGTTGGTCTGTGTTTATGTGTGTGCGACTGTGGAAAAATAGCACAGCTGCAGACTTTTGAATGTTGACTACAGTGCAGAAAATGAGACGCTGGCTCAGTGCACTAATGATTAAAAACTGAGCTTAACCTTCAACTAGACTTTTATTGCTCTTTTATTAGCTTGTTTTTATGCCAAAAAATATATTGTCATCTCGATAGTAAGAATATTTTAAGATATCTTGCAATTATTTCAAAGCAATCGATGATCAATACTGTGCTACTTCATAAAATGCATATGCGATTTTGCCTGTAATGAAGTAAGTGATCATTCTTTGAACAGTAAAATGTTACTGATAAAGTCATCGCATGTGTGTTTTGTGTGTAGGTGCTGGTTGAGAGTGGATAACTACTTCATCTGGAGTTTTATCGGCCCCGTGTCCTTCATTATCATGGTATTGTTCTCTCCAAACCTTCAGCGCTCTCTCTGCTTTGCTCACAGAGTTTGTTCTTTTTTTTCCTCCCTGAAAAGTGCTGTGCTAGTCATCTCAAACAAAGCGCTTTTGTTCACCTATGGATCTGTTGCTGCTGACGACTATGTTTTGTCTGTAATATGCTTTATATGAGTGTGGAGCTTAGATTAGGTTTAGATATGGGAACTTGCTGACATTTTCGTAATTACAATATATTTTACTAATGCCTTAGCTCTGTTTTTGTTTTTATTAGTTTGTGAGAAAAAAAGTTTTTGATCTTTCTAAAGTTCTTTTCTTACTTGCATTGGATCTCTCATCTAACACGAACCGAGTACATTTCTGTATAAATGTTCATATCACCATTCCCATTGAATTTAATTGCAGCAATTTAAGCTAGAATGATTTCACGAACAATTTACACAGAAATTCTGCTTGTGTTTTATGAATGAGGCTCATTGTTAGGAAGAAAGCAGTGTTTTAAATTGTCTTTCCTGTGTAGATATTTTCTAAAGGGCTTGTCCTTTTTAATTGGCTTTAATTTGTGTCACAATGACATGGAAATTGTTTGTCTTCGTAGAGTCTTTAAGTTACATTTTTCTGTTCTCTTACCTTTGACCTTTAGTTAAACCTGGTGTTCCTCATGATAACACTCCACAAGATGGTCCGTAACTCATCCGCCCTCAAACCCGACTCCAGTCGCCTGGACAACATCAAGTGAGAGTCTTCCACCGCAAAAATATGCATTGTAGTAACATCATCTATGACGTTTTTTTGTTGTATGTTTATGTATTGTGAACGTGTGCATGTTTTCCCTCAGGTCCTGGGCTCTGGGGGCTATCGCACTGCTCTTCCTCTTGGGTCTGACCTGGGCCTTCGGCCTCCTCTTCATCAATGAGAACACCGTCATCATGGCATATCTTTTCACCACCTTTAATGCCTTCCAGGGCATGTTCATCTTCATCTTCCATTGTGCTCTACAGAAAAAGGTCAGTGCCATTAATGTTTAATACCCAGATAATACTTTGGAGACACATTTGCTGCAAAATTTCCTCAGAAGTTACCTAAATATGGAAAAAGACAAAAACTGGTGTCATCACAAGTTAAGGCAAGTTAAAAATTCTCTTTTAGGAATAGCTTTGGGTTAGGATTCATCTGTACCATGATATTATTAGTTTTATAATTCGCTTTATTTAAAGGTGAAGGATGTCATTTCTGCACAATTACTTGCACCAAAAGAAAAATACTGATTGTTTTCAAACAGGTTTTCAAGCACTCCATATTCCATTGTTCGGCCAAATAAAGCCCTGCCCCCAAACACACGCCATTGGTTGAGGCCTGTGTTGAGGAAGCAGTTTTGAAACTCTAGTTTACCAAGCTACTTACTGTATAAAGTAGTGAAACAGCAGTCAAGCTATCTGAGCTATTAACAAAAAGTAGTTAAATGCATTGAGACTTTACAAGAAGGTACTACGTTATTAAATGTATATGTTAAAAAATAATATAATTAATTTGTACCATTAGAGCTTTTTTTTATCTGACACCGTAAGACACAATGCTTATGCTGACAGCATTAAACAAATACATTTATACAAAATACAAATAATAATACTGCAAATGTTTGAACCAGTATTTGCAACCAGCTTTTCTTTCCTATTGTGACGTATATCGCTTATCGAATCAGACAAAAAAGGCAGGACAGGACTTTTGTCAAATTTTACTATTATGTGTTGGGGAAAAAATAGCTTGTTACTGTAAAATATACAGTATTTGCTGTAACAATACTGAAAAATACTAAAAATGTTAGTGACAGAAGTATGGAAATTACACTCCTTGTGAAAAAGTAATGTGCTTCATTTTATTGAATGCAATTGTAGTGTACTTCAAATAAAAAAAAAACTGTACTTGCAGATAATATAATATTAATGAATTAAAAGGCCACTTAAGTGTACAGTACTTAAAGAGACACTTTCATGACTATGTTTGTAAACATACTTGAGTACACTTTTAAAAAATTCACATTTTTCACTAAGTTCAAATTAAACATTTTGCATTAAAGTACATTGAAAAACTTTTTTATTTTTAATCTTTTCCCATGCTTTAAAGAAGTACACTTATTTTGATGTGTTGACTAACAAACTAAAGCATGTATAAAGTACTTGATTAGAATTTATATTACATTTAAAGTTTATATATTTTAAATGTACTTAAAATTGCATTAAAATATTTAAAATTGCAACTTCATCATTATAAACGTGTAATTACGAATACATGACAAAGTATTTTTTGACTACCATAAATGCTTGTCAGTAAATTCAGCAGTACACTTCATATTTCAAAGATAATGTAAGTAATTTTAAAATTACATTTAAAGATGTACTTAAGTCCTACTAAGTGGGTCGAAAGCATTTTAAAGTTAAGCTAATGCATTTACTATAGATTTAAACTATAATGCATTTTTATTTAATTGCAATTAATATGCAGTTATGTGTCTGAAAACATTACATATTATGTTTGCATGTAGATTAGTTGCTTTACCTACAGTAAGTGCTTAAGTGCAAATGTGTTTTAGGTGCATAAGGAGTACAGCAAGTGCCTGCGTCATTCTTACTGCTGCAGTCGCACCTCCACTACGAGCTCTCATGGATCGCTGAAGAATTCTGCCCTTCGTGCCAACAACCGCTACTACACCGGCAGCCAGGCACGTCATGCAGCGGTACACAGACAGGTGACACGCATGCACACTGACAGCATTGCTATTTATAAACTGCTGTTCTGTTCCATATACCAATTCACCTCGCTCACCTGTTTCAGAGTCGAATTCGTCGTATGTGGAACGACACGGTGCGAAAGCAGACAGAGTCATCCTTCATGGCTGGAGACATCAACAGCACTCCCACTCTGAACCGTGGTGAGACCATCCTTCTGCCTTAAAACTTTCCCAGCATGCACCAGAGTCCATCTGTACCTATGTGTCTGTGCTTAAATGGCCATTTTTTTTCACTAAAGTCCCTTCAGTTCACTCAGCAGCCATATTTGCTACATTTCTATTGTCATGGCAATTTTCTATTTTCACACTTGTCTTGTACACACACACACACACACACACACATTAAATAGATTTCCTGTTATCTCTCAGCTTATTAAAAAACTCAAGCAAATTGAAGCAAACTGTAGCACTCAGAGACAGTCTAAAGAACACTCTTTAGTACAGTGAAGCAAATAATACCGATAATGATAATAATAATTGAGATGAAAATAAAATTTCCTCCACACTATGCAGCTATTTCAGTCATCCATGACTAACTCCTATCTACTTGAAATGCCGAATTCTAAGTTTTTTTCAACTTTACTTCAGCTAACAAAAAAAGTATTTTTAATCATTTTTAGTTTTAGTTATTAGTATTTAGTTATATTAATAACTGTTTTATAAGACCTTGATTTTTGCAGATTAGTTTTAATAAATTCATTTTTGAGTTCAAAAAGGCTTGTGTTCATAATACAGTGAACTCTCAAACAGATATTTGATTTTTGTCATGATCTGGCCTTTTTAAATACGTTCAGCACTTAAATGTTGGACTGTAAAGGGAGACTAAGTGATAGTTAATAAAGAAAGAATGCGAGAGGCAGGCTGTTTCCATCACCAGATCCTGAGTGTGGCGTCACCACCGTTCTGATCATCCCAGGGATCAATGTTTGCGGGAGGAGAGGGGGGGTGGGGGGCGACGACAGAGAAGCCGCAGCTAAATCAACTGCCACTCTTTATGCTAATTCTATCCATTTTGTTTTTAATGAAGTGATTAGCCGCCGAATGAACGGGGGGTAATTACTCTAATTGAGGAGAATGACAGTAGCGTCCTCACTGCAGTGCGCCGATTGTTGCTTTCCAGGGACTTTAATCAAGGCGAGAGAGAGAAAAAGTACGAGACAGAAAGGCAGATCTAAACCATATAGTAGCAAAAAAAGAGAAGAATGGATTCCGGGGAGAGGAAACGGCAGGGTTTTGTGCCACGTGAGAAAACGTTTTTTGGATGTTACAAGAGTGACACTCAAGTGAGTCAAAAGACACTCACAAGACACTTCAGTGAGATATTTACAGGAATTAAAGGCATGTTCAAAGGTTCAGTACAAGTGAATCTCTATCGACAGCATTTGTGGCATAATGTTCATCATTACTCAAGGTCTGCACTCTAAAATTCTCTTTATTTAAACAGGAGATAAATACAAATAACAGACGTTTCGGCTTGCTGCCTTCATGAGTGTGACAAGATCTCAGTAACTCGATGATTATATGAAGACCAACAATGACCCACAAGTGGTGGTAATTAGGTTTCCAAATTCACAGACTCCAGATCAGTTCAATTCATTTCAATTCAATTCAAGTTTATTTGTATAGCGCTTTTCACGATACAAATCGTTGCAAAGCAACTTTACAGCAAATTAGGTTTCTACAATATTTAGTAGTAGCTTATCAGTGGTGACTGTCAGTTAATGTACATATGGCAGAAATGTACGGAAAAATCAATTAAAGACGTAATCAAACAGACGATGAACACTATTAACAGCAATTATTATATGATGCAATCAAACGTAAGCTAAATTTGGTGGTTCTGTATGTTGTTTCATGGTTGGCATCATCTGAGGTCCTCTGAGGGGTTGGCATCATCTCTTCTCAGCTGTTCTGGATCCAGACTGAAGCTTGTGTAAATCCTAGTTACCACGGGATGTCAATCCCGTGGCAGAAACAGAGAAACAAATAGAGACATAATTAGCGTAGCTGCTGTTCCAACCAAGCAAAATTTATTTGTTTAACCCAAGCTAAAGAATAATAATGCGCATTTGATCAGATATAACTGCAGTAAAAGATTATGAGATGCATTATTTGAATGCTTGGCCAAATTTATGTTCACTGATTCTAATTCTCAATGGCCTCAAAGTTTTTCCAACATGCATCAATGGACATGGACACTGAAGTAAGTATATTATATTATTAGTAGAACATGTGATACAAGATCTGATGTAGTATGTTTTATTCGTCAGTAAATGTAAACTTTTTGCATTGTAATATTGAAGAACATGATGTACAATTTCGACATGGAAAACAACCTTGTATATATGTCTTCTTGTCATCACGCACTAAATCTGATCTAACTAGCATATTTGCCAAATTTGAAGATCTTTTGTAAGTAAACATCGGAGGTTGTTTGAAAACGTCTTTTAAAGAAGGATCTGAAGCTAAAATGATCCAATATTTATTTACAATAGATTTAATCTGATGGCTATTTTTTGTGTAGGTTGAAATATAATTTACTGAAAATTGTTTCTTCTGTTGTTGTTTTTTGATAGTTCAATAACTGAAATTTTCTCAGATTTTTTTACTTTTTCAACTGCTGAACGAAGCCAAGTTTGTGGATAACCTCTTGAACAAAAACGATTCTTCAAAATTATTGACTGTTTCTCAAATTCCTCTTCTGAATCACAAATACGTCTAAGTCCATAGAGTTGACTTAATGGTAACCCTTTTTTCAGAGGCAGTGGTTAATGACTATCAGCAGACAATAATGTGTTTTTGTCTGTTGGTTTACGAAACACCGTGGTGGAGATCTTGTTATTGATTTTTGATATAAACACATCTAACTTACCTGGCAGGGGAGACACCATTCATCAATAAACATGTAAACCTTTTGCATTGTAATATTGAAGAACATGATATACAAATTCGACATGGAAAACAACCTTGTATATATGTTTTCTTGTCATCACGCACAACATCTGATTTAACTAGCATATTTGCCAAATTTAAAGATATTTTGTTAGTAAACATCGGAGGTTGTTTGAAAACATCTTTTAAAGAAGGATCTGAAGCTAAAATGAACCAATATTTATTTACAATAGATTTAATATTATAATTTATAATATAAATATAATTTACTGAAAATTGTTCCTTCTGTTGTTTTTTTTGATAGTTCAATAACTGAAATCTCTCAGATTTTTTTACTTTTTCAACTGCTGAATGAAAGTTTGTGGATAACCTCTTGAACAAAAACGATTCTTCAAAATGATTGACTGTTTCTCAAATTCCTCTTCTGAATCACAAATACGTCTAAGTCGATAGAGTTGACTTAATGGTAACCCTTTTTTCAGAGGCAGTGGGTGATGACTATCCGCAGACAATAATGTATTTTTGTCTGTTGGTTCACGGAACACCGTGGTGGAGATCTTGTTGTTTATATTTGATATAACCACATCTAAAAAACGAATTGATGATAAATTGTTTTCAACTGAAAATGTAATAGAACCTAGTCTTGAATTCAAAAACTGTACAAATTCAAACAAATCCTCTTCACTTCCTTTCCAAATGAGAAAACAATCATCAATGTATCTTGCCCAGTGCCTAATGAAACTTCCAAAAGGATTATTATTGTAAATAAAATCCAATTCAAATTTACCCATGAACAGGTTAGCATAACTTGGTGCTAGATGTGTGCCCATAGCGGTACCTTGTGTCTGGAGGTAATACTCTTTGTCAAACAAAAAATAATTGTTGGTTAAAATGAATTTGGTCAAATCCAAGATATACTGTGAAGGTAATCTTGGATTCTGTAGGGTTTTGAGAAAATTATCTAAATATTCTAAACCTTCTTTGTGTGGAATTGAGGTGTACAAAGATGTTACATCTAGTGTTACTAACCAATCTTGGTCATCTAAATTGGAATAGAGTTGTAGTTTAGTTAAAAAATCTGTTGTATCTCTCAAATAAGAAGGCAGTTGTTTCACTAATGGTTGTAAATAATAATCTATAAATATAGACAATTTTTCAGTGAGGGAGCCAGTGCCAGATACTATAGGTCGATAAGGAGGATCTACAATAGATTTGTGTATTTTGGGTAAAGCATAAAGCACTGGGACAACTGGATGATGATTTGTTAACCATTTGGATTCTTGTTCTGTTATCCATTTCTCTACAACACCTCTTTTTAACATCCTATCTATCTGGGATTTATAGTCGATGGTAGGGTTAAACATTAGTTTTTTTATAACATGAGGAATCACCAAGCAATGTTTTTACTTTAGAGATATATTTATTTTGTATAACTATAGCTCCTCCTTTATCTGCTTTTTGGATTATAATTGTTCTATCATTTTTTTAAATCCTCTAAAGCTTCTTTTTGAACGTTGTTTAGATTCTTCAACTCAAACTTAGGTTTTTCCATCAACATTTTATCTATATCATTCTCTACCAGTCGACAAAATGTGTTCACAGAGGGATTGGAGATATGGGGTGGAAAGGTACTTTTAGGCTTAAATTGATTAATGACTGTTGTACCAGTACTGTTACAACCAAAAAAACTTTTTAATTTCTCATAAACTTAAACAGTTCAATCTTAACTAAGAAAGGATCAGTTCTTGGAGTTGGAACAAAAGATAAACCTTTACTGAGAATTTGGACATGTCATCTTCTCTGTCTCTGTTTTCAGTAGGGTTTACCTCACACATCTTTTTTCCCCTCGAGCCTCTTCTAGTTGGACGCTTCTTCTGGTGCGTGTTCTTTGGGAGCGATGTGGAGTTGCCAAAAAAGGCCTCACAGTGGTAGAAGATGTTGTAGAAGAAGAAAGGTTGGATTCACTGGAGTCTGAGGGTTCATCCTGTGAGCGTAATGCATGATGTTTTCCCAGGTTTCCAGACATCCATCTGTAGATCTGGTTGTCCTTATAATCCATTGTATCACGTCTAAATTTGCGGAGTTTGAAAGTGGTCAGATCATCTCGGAATTTCTTCAGTTGTTCCTGGATGTTCGATTGTAGTTCATCTAGTTTCTCCTTGTTGTATGCAGATTTTCACATTCCAGGATAGAGGTTTTTACAGAAGAAAGTTCCTTGGAAGTATGTTCGACGATTAATATCATCAAATCAAATAAACAGTGGTTCAGAATTTCACACCAGCATTGACAAAACTCCGGATTTTCTTTGCCAATGGTAGGAGCTTTTTCAATTTGAAGACCTCTGGGAATGCATCCGCATTGATGATATTCACTCAAAGTTTTAGCGTATAGTTCAAAGCGTGTCTCTTTTTGATGCAGTCGCAAAAGTCTTTCTTTTAAAGAATCAATCAAATTGCTGGAATATAAAATTCTTGTTTCATCTTGTTTAAAACTCTAAAAGACTTTTACTTTCAGTGCAGGAGATAAAACAAGAATTTTATATCCCAGCAATGCAGATGATTTTGAAGAAAGCTGTATGGAATCATTTGATTCTTTAAAAGAATTCTGAACCACTGTTCATTTGATTTGATGTTATTAATACATTGATGTATGTTGGAAAAACTTCGAGGCCATTGAGAATTAGAATCAGTGAACATAAATCAGCAATTCGTAAATGTGATGTTACTTCTCCAGTGGCCAGACACTTTATTGAATATAATCATAGTATTGAACAACTGAAATGTATAGGAATTGAGAAAATAATGAATCCTCGCCGGGGTGGAGATATTAGTAAAAGACTCTTACAAAGAGAGGCGTCTTGGATGTTTTATTTAAAGACCATGTCACCTTTGGGTTTAAATGAGGATTTTGATCTTTCATGTTTATTGTAAAAAAATATATATTTTTAATATTTTTTATTTTTTGGGAGCAATGTGTATGAACGGCATGTTTTTGCCTTATTGTCACCATTGATTTTTGTTTAAGCTTTTGTTGAAATTTGTTGCTGTTAGATGGAACTGATCTGGAGTCTGTGAATTTGGAAACCTAATTACCACCACCTGTGGGTCATTGTTGATCTTCATATAATCATCGAGTTACTGAGATCTTGTCACACTGATGAAGGCAGCAAGCCGAAACGTCTGTTATTTGTATATATCTCCTGTTTAAATAAAGAGAATTTTAGAGTGCAGACCTTGAGTAACGTTTAATATAAGAAATAGGTCTTTGCACCTACAAAAGCTGAGAGAGCGTGGTGAGTGATGAGATTGGCATAATGTTCATTAACACAGAACACAATTTTGACTCTTTTAGAAATTATTGATACCATCGATCTGAAGGGTTTTAACAGCAGAAATCTAAAGACGTGAAATTTTCCCCAAAAATGAAAAATGACTATTTTTTTCCTCATCGGAACAGATTTGGAGAAATTTAAAATCACCAATGGATCCTCTGCAGTGAATGGGTGCCGTCAGAATGAGAGTACAAACAGCTGATAAAAACAACACAATAATCCATACCACTCCAGTCCATCGATTAATGTCTTGTGAAGTGAAAATTGTTGTTTGTAAAAAACAAATTCATCAAGGTGTTTTTCACTTCAAACCGTTGCTACTGGCTAAAAAGCAAGTCCTCTATCCGTAATATTGATTTCTTAAGTGAAAAGTTCTCTGAATTTTTTTTTCTCACCATTTACAACCAAAACAGTCCAAAACATTTCTAAACAAACATGTTGGTGCATTTTGATGTGAGAGGACAACAGGAATGGGCTTTTTAAACTGGAACACGTGTTATTATGGATTATGGGCTCATATTTTAGCCAAAAAGCAACAGTTTAATGTTAAAACACCTTGATGGATTTGTGTAGAAATTATTTTTGCTCAGAAATTGAACTGAATGATGAAAACACAATGTACTGAATGTTAAAGTAGAAAGACTGAAATTGTATTTTCTTATAAAACATACTCTGATAATCTCTTTTTTTACATACTCTGATAACTATTTTTTACAGAGTACAAACACTCAGCATTTCGCCTCACAAGACATTAACTGATGGACTGGAGTTGTGTGGATTACTTGTAGATTACTGTGCTGTTTTTATCAGCTGTTTGGACTCTCGTTCTGACGACACCCATTTACTGCAGAGGATCCATTGGTGAGCAAGTGATGCGATGCTAAATTTCTCCAAATCTGTTCCAATGAAGAAACACACTCATCTACGTCTTGTGTCTCAAGCGTTAGTACATTCAGTACATTTTCATTTTTGGGTGAATCATTCTTATGAAGCAATTGCACTGAATTATCCATTCAGTGAAATCTTTCTGTTTCAGGTGGGACTACTTTTCTAGATGGATGAACATTTGGTTATGTGCTATTGACATAATTTCTGTGGGCAGAGTTTGTGCCATGTAAAATAGTGCTTGACAGATCTGGAATTTGTATCGCATATTAAAAGTTAACGGGTTTTCTCAAGTCAAATCATGTTTAGTTCATCTTTTACGCAGCTTAAATGGTACTGTGGGGCTTTAGCAGCATTACATGGTCATGACAACAATGTTGACAGATTGAATAGGTCACACTAGTTTCATGTTTAAGTCTTGTTGTGTGCTTAACAGTGTGTTTACTACATTGTGTCAGACTTTAATGAGGAATGAGCTGGAATTCTTTTCTGTAATAATCAATTTTATGCCACAAATGCTGGTGGCACAGCTTTACTTTTATTAAACCTGGAACATTCCTGCAAGAGGTAAGAAATGTGTGTAGTATGTGTGTAAAAATGACGAGCGCACATCTAAAATTAATTCTTGAGGCGGTCCTCTCTGATAGATGATAGCGCGAGAGCGCAAGGTTGCACTTTGCCTCAGTCCACTCGATGTCATACTGGCCTCTTTTTAATTTCATGGCATTTCTGTCTGAAAGCCCCGGGCTGCAGCTCTGCATCTGCATTATGGCCCATACTGAATGTTCCATTTCTCTGAGTCACATTTGTCTACTGCAAGCGTTCACATTTCACTGGGAAATGAACCCACATTTCAGTGGCTGCTCTGTGAAACTACATAATGGCAAATATTACCATTTCCCTCCCAATGACTCCATCTGACAGTGAGGCATGGAATTATGCTCCACGACTACTCTTCAAATACATTTCGGCTTCACTGCAAATAAACACTTCATCAAATCAGCCATTACGGCATCACACAGCGACATTAGGGATTTTTTTTTTTTTTGTGAATTGTCAAACACAATGAACACACTGTGGATTCTGCTTAGCCTTATTGTGAAGTGCAAATAGCCATTCCATGTTCATAATGTGTATTATTCCTTTAAAACAGATAGTTCCTGCATCCTGAATGTTCATTGTCTGTAACGTTTCAGCCACGGTAAAATGCACAATATATTAACAGGTTTGATGTGAAACAGCTCTTTATACCACTATACATCAGACTATTAATCTTACTTTAGATGTCAGTGACTAGCAGAAGTATGCCACTTTTCTGAACAAAAATTTTGTGAAAAACTAACATTATGATTTTTAGAAAACAAGTAATATAGGGTCCACCCCTAACCCCTCTCCTAAGCATAACAGAGAGGGGCACTTTTGGTTAATTTTGGAAAACGGGCAGGGGCTTGAGCCCCCAAAGCACCCCCCTCTGCAAGTGCCTGACCGTATTTTAGATCTTTTACTTCTACTCCATACATAAACTTAACAACTACCTTACTATAACTATTATTAAGCAGCAAATTAGGAGTTTATTGAGGCAAAAGTCATAGTTAAGAGTTAGTTAATAGTGAGAATTGGTCCCAAAACTAAAGTGTGACCACATATACTTATCTATACAAATTAGCTACAAATGTAAACATTTGCCAAAAGACTCTGTTGGTCTAACATACCTGTAGTATGGCCTTCAGTGCCTTGCTGCTTAAATAACGTTTATAAAGTAGGATTTTATAAAAATGGTATGACTTTATAATGTGAAGAATTTTCTTCTTTTCCTTTTTAGGTACACTGGGGAACCATCTTCTGACGAACCCCGTGCTGCAAACCCGTACAGGAACCTCTCCTTATAACACACTGCTGGCTGAGACGTTTACCCCGCCCTCGCCTGGAGTCTTCAACTCTACTGGTTAGTGTGGGTCGACTTTAGTTTGCATTGGAAAGAAAATCACAAATGATTTCACTTTAGTATCTTAGTTATTTATCATGTAGAGTTTCAGAACTGTTTAATTCTCAAACAGTGCTCAAATTTGCCAAAATGCCACCTAAAGTTGTATTTAATTGATCAAAGGTAGCTATTTCGTAGTTCCTTTTATGTTGAACATACTAACTTGCCTTGGATGTTTCTCCTAAATCCTCTTAGGAGAAACAAAGATTCTGATATGCTGATTTGCTACTCAGTAAACATTTCGTATTATTATCAATGTTGAAAACAGTTGTGCTGCTTAATATATGTGTGGAAACTGTGATTTTTTTTTTCAGGATTCTTTGAAGAATAGAAAGTTCAAAACAAAAGCATTTCTTTGAAATTGAAATCTTTATTAACATGCTGAAAATGTCTTTACTTTCATTTTTGATCCATTTAATATGTGTTTGTGTGCGTGTATACACACACTCACATACATACACATTTGAGTTCAGAAACGTAACTTCTTAATTTAACTTTTTAGCTATGAATGTCCTCTGAGCAATAAAAAAAAATCCTCTGTATTTTTTTATTTATTATTATCATTATTGTATATGCAGTTGCCACAGTGTGTGTGAGTGTCACCGATGGTATTCATGTGCTGTGATCTGTGCACTCTTGTGCATATGCTGTGTGTGTGTAGATCTGTGCGTCTCCCTCAGCGTGTGAGTTTACACCCTGTCGGTCTGTCAGTGTGATTCAGAGGGGTGGACAGAGACTGACCATCTGGCCAGCGTTTTAATCCCTCCTGCTGGAAAGACAGACCAGAGCATCGATTAAAGCTAGGGCTGAAGTTGAGTGACTGACAGCGGAGCGAGAAAGGAGAGCGTTCCCTTGAGATTCGACACTGAGTATCGGCATGGCTGTGTCCGTGCCGCACACACATACTGCCCAGGCTTCGCTCTCTCGCCGTACCGTTCGCCTTCGTGTGCCGATTGAAAGGCAGTGAGAGAGAAAGATAGCTGCGGTTCCCATGTCAGTGGGGTGAAATTTAAGACAGCGTCTCTGTTGAATATTTTAAACGTTCCCTCTCTGTGTAATGTGTCAGGCTGACGGTGCGTCACTCGGCTCGGCTGAGAGGACATTTTTAGAATGCTTATGGAGAGGAAGTAGGAGGAGGGCCTCATTAGAATGTCTAATTACTCTCTCTCTCTCTGCACAGAGGAGCGTTGATTAAAATCATACCGGGCATTAATATTTAAACCCACGCATGCCTTGGTGTGTGCCACCACACGCATCTCCTGCGTTCAATGCACGCCGACGAGTTAAAAGAATATCACAACATCTCTGGCGTGTGAAATAAACATGATCTTGAATTTATGAGGATGAAGTGTGAATAACATCTCGCCGAATAAGGATCATGCCAAAACCAAACAATAAAGCTCCATTTCTAAACTCCCCAAACCAAAGAATGAGGGGCTGTTCCTAAGATCCCAACTCCCAAGACTAAAAGGGTGAGATACTGATCCTCAGTCCACAGAATCAGACACTGCCCCAAAACTAAACGACTGTAGTACCACTGTTTTCATACTTTATCTAGCGAGTAGAGGTGTGGCGTGACCAAACACTACATCACTGTTTTTAATGTAAATCTCTGAGGGAAAGCTGAGGGAATGGTAAAAACTCACTCACATAAATTGCCCTCTCTCTCTGTCTCTCTCGCATGTAGCATTCTAGTCAAGTCTAAATAAATATGTGTAGATTCTAAAGAAATGTTCTAAACAAAAAAAATTGTTGTTGTATTTAATATAAATGTATACAAATTGAGATATTAAGATATTAATTTAAATCCACAGCAAAATAAGACGGTGATAAAATTCTAAATTATTTAATTGGATAGTTAATTTGATTTTATTTATAGAAATATGCACTCAAAAAAAGTAAACTCACTCAACTCTCATGTTGTTCCAAACCATGCATGACTTTATTTCTTATATGAAACACAAAATAAGATATTTTGGGGGAATGTTTAAACTGTTTTGTTTTGTTTATAAATACAACGAAAGTCACTTTTTGTTTTAAATGTAGACAGACCGGTTTGGAACAACATGAGGGTGAGTAAATGATAATAGAATTGTCATTTTGGGTGAACTGTCACTTTAAGTAATTCACTGTAGTTTACTACTTTTGATTATAGCTGATAGAATAACTAACTCCATTTTGAAATCAGTGTGTTATTGTGAATGAGACGATTGATGTCCATTGTTGTCTCTTTATAGCTACTACATTATTTCATCAATAGAGTTCTTAAGTGTGACATTTGTTTATGCCAACATTCAAGAAAAAGAAGACAGTTTCATGTAAAGCCCAAGTCAGAAACAAATCATTGATCACTTTTGTTGTCTTTCTTTTGTCTCGCTTTGCCCTTACATTGCCTCACCTTGGATCCACAGGAACTTTCCGTGACCCAAGTAAGACTCTTTTCACTTTCAGGCTTATGGCTATTTTCAGTGTTTTATAGGCTAATTTTGCAGAATGATAACCTCTTCACATGTGCAGTGAAGCCTTGCTTCTATGTACATAATTTACGTCCCTGGTAATAACTTGCCTCTGTCCATAAGCCTATTAATCTTGTGATGGAAGTTGTGTTCCCCATTATTGATTTAATCCTGGATTCTGTTGCTGTGAATTTCCATCTTGATTAAAATAGGTAATGAAGTGCTCACTTATCCCTCCTCCTTTTTCATTTGCTTACCACCTCTCAATTGCTCTCTCAACAGAGAGCACACTGTCTAAGAACCGAGATCATGGAGGCATGGAGACGCTACCTCTGAATGGGAACTTCAACAACAGCTATTCTCTGCGTAGTGTCGGGGGTTCGGGAGCTCCCGGGGGCAGCTGTGACTTCCTGGGAGGTGGAGGTGGAGATAGCCCCCCTCCCCTACTCAATCCCCGCAGTTCAGAAACTCTCGGTGGCATACGGAGAAACCTCTCGGATGCAGCAGCGTTCGAGAAGATGATCATATCTGAACTTGTGCACAATAATCTCCGAGGCAGTGGAGGGGCTGGGGGCGGTGACAGAACATGTGGTAGCCTGGTCAGAGGACATGGGCACATGGGAATGGGGCGGGGCGAAGGCGGGGCAGAGCCGGTGATAGGCATGGAGAACGACGAAGACTTTCGTTCGAGAGAAGCACGACAGCGCACGCCGCAAGACGTGGAACTGCTGTACAAGGCTCTGGAGGAGCCCCTGCTGCTGCAGCGTGCCCAGTCCGTGCTCTACCAGAGTGACCCAGAGGAGTCCGAAAGCTACACAGCCGACTTGACCGAGAGTTTGGGCCACAGCGGTCAAAGTGCAGCAGGCCAGGGCCACAACGGAGCCCCCGATTCACCTGCGCGGGACTCCCTCTTCACCAGCATCACCAACCTGCAAGATTCACCCTACCCCGACAGCAGCCCAGAGCCGCTAGAGGTGGTTCCGCGCTCAGCCCAGCCTCCGGAGGAGCTGTACTACAGCTCGGGTCGGCCTGCCATAGGCTCCCGCGGAGCCCCCATGCAGACCTTCTACCAGGCTCCACCTAGGAGACCAAGCACTGAAGCCCACCCCGCCCCTGAGCCCCCTCACAGTGAGGGAGATGGACAGATGCAGCTGGTCACAAGCCTGTGACTACGAGGAAGAGGTGGAGGAGACAGAGCGCCACAGGGTCTGATGCAAAGTGCCGATGGCGATGATGGACTCCTCTCCTGTCTCTGACGCCCTCCTTATGTCTGGTTGCCTTTTTGCTCTTTCATTTGTTTTGAAGTAAGAGGTAAGGAAAGCCTAAACAGGGAGAGCGACAGAGAGGTTTGTCTCCATGGCAGCAGGCTCTCTGAAGTGCTGTGTAACCACTCTGCCCTCTCATCAGCATCATTTTCTCCTCCATCCTCACACACACACACACACACACACACATAGAGAAACAGCGAGTCCAACTACCTGCCTTCTCTCAATGGGTGTCTCTGCCTTCAGCTCTCTCTGCTCCAAAAATATCATCAAACATCACACTGGGCTTCTATTTCTGTGTTTTATTTCAAGTCATATCTTTAAAATGTTGCTTTTGCGTAACTCCTTACCTTCACTTTCCTTTCTCTGTCTTTCTCCATCATTATTTGATGAGAGCTGTTATATGAGGAAATGGGGGTATGCCATTATACTGCAAGTGACAAAAATCTCTCTGAAAGCTCTTCAGTGTTGCCAAAAATAACTGTTTTTGAGCCAGGACACAAACTGGAATCTACACACGCACACACACACACTCACAGAAGTGCTTGTTACTGAACATCAAGAGTGTGAACATATGCTCGTGAAAAAGGAAAGCAAGGACTATTGTTCAGACACAGGTAGCGGGAAGCTGCGTCAGTGGAGTTGCCTTTATTTCTCTCTCTGAACTGACTCTTCTGTATAGAACAACCACAGAGGCTGGGAACGGGGTGTACGTTAGGACACAACCCATCGTCACCTGGGTCGTTTGAAGCCTCTCGGCCATGGGACCTCTCGTGATTGAAACTCTGTAGTGTTTCATCTCAGATCCACAGATGGGGGATGGATTAAGGACTGAACCTGGTCTCCGAATCACTGATGGATGTTGTAGGTGGACGTGCTGTATCACCTGTGTTATTGTGGCTAGAATAATTTTTTTGCTACCGCTCCAGACATTCTTTGAGTCTGACCTCTGTACATAAGAACCACACGAAAGCGAAAGCAAGTCTTATTCTACTCGTCTCATGTACATAGAAGAACAAAAGCAACAAAAAAAGTATCAAATACTATGAAAAAACAGTTCTTGTACTGCAACAGAAATCGAAAATAAAGATGTTTTGAAGTTTGTGACCTAAACACCATGCCAGTCTCTCCCTCTCTCTTTCTTTCGCTCTCTCCGGCCCTCATTCAGTCCTGCCCTGGAGCACCGCAGTGCCAGGAAATCTAATTGTCTGCCAAGAGACAGCGAGAGAGAGACAGAAAGAGAAGGATTTTACATGCAAACAAGATAAATCCTGGCACAATCTTTATGTAATATAACCCATTACATTGTTGGTAATGTTTGACCTTCAACATTCCCAGACAGGAAGTGCTTGACATGAGTGAAAGGGGAATACACTGTGCCTCAGTGGCGCACTGGTGCATTGTGGGTTGATTGACAGCAGCCATAATGTAGTGTTGGTTATATTTTATCTGGAAGATGTAATAGATATCAGATGACTAGATGAATAGAATATATTTAGGTGAGAAAAAAAATTGGGGGGCACATTCGGAAAAGTTTCAGTCGCAAACCCTAGATTGTATTTGACTGTTTTACATGCCAATATCAGCTGTTGTTTCTGAAACTGGTGTGACAGTTGATTTACAATTTGTATGTGTATGTCTGAACGTGACCATTTGGATGCTCGCGAACCAGAGTACATATGTGTGTGAGTATGTATCTCAGAGGCTATTTTTACTGGGTTAGATGAACCCGCATTAGAAGAACAGGAAGCAGAGTAAATCTATATCTATATAAGAGCTCAGTATAAGCTTCCATCTAAAAGACTTTGTTAAAGGTATTTTAAATGTTGTTTTTTTTGCCAGTCAGGTACAATGGAAACTAAGGTTTAAAACAAAAAACAAAACATAATTAGCATTCATTGAGCGACAGGAACATCTGACCAGTGAGACACGGCCTCTGTGGTTTAGAATCCCCATATGCAAAAGAGCTGCATAGCCTATTGAACAAAAGAGAGGTATTCATGAGTGCTCCGCCCCTCTGAAGTCTGCTCAATCTTCAAGTCTTTCATGTCTGATGTTTTATTTATTAATATTTATTTGCTTGTTTTGATTATTTATGCACATTAATTTATTCAATGTGGTTTTCGTTCTGTGTACAGAGCATATGTGAGGGTGACGAGAGTGTGCTATATTTTGAAGAGCATACTAGCATACTACTCTTACTATTGCTGCAGTATATACTATGTATTGTTTGCACAGTATGCAGATTTTCTCCCGAATTGCCTAATAAATTTTGCCAGAATGAATGGTAAACAACAGAGGCTGAATTCGGAATGGCATTGTACTCTTAATATTTCTTATTATGGCAGAAATATTAAGAGTAGAAATAGAATTCAGTCAGTATAGATTATTTTGTCCCACAATTCAAAGTGGTTCACTTTACCTTTTATTTCCAATGTGATGGATGAACTGAAAATATTGTCTGTAATTTTATTTATTTTAAATCTGATTGGACTGCCAAAAGTAAAGATGTTTTATTTGCCAAACACCACTTTTGTTTCCCATGTTTATTGGATATCATTCACTGAATGATCCAACATGATGAAGTCATGTGACAACAGGGAAGCATGTTTGAAATATTTATTGTGGAACATCTGTTCACTTTAAAAAAAAAAAAACACTATACTACACAGTAAGTAATAAGCTAGTATGCCATTCCAAACATAGCCATAGAAATAAAGAGAGAGAGCAGGAGTGAGTATCTATGTTTAATGTCAGAGGAAGAGGTGATGTCAAAACTACACAAGTCTGCAGCTGGTTTAGAGAAGGTCTGCTGCACCCACTGTCAAATGTGGAGAGCATTGGTGCATCCTGAATCAATGTCCTATCATTCAATCCAAGCACCATCTGCACTCTCTCTTTCTCTATCTCTCACTCCTGTAAGTCTTCTAAGAGGACTTGTGTGCAATCCATTGCATGATAAGTTGTACTGATTGACACAGGGTCAGTATGTTCACCGGTGTGCTGCCCAGCAGGTGGTTAGTACACCCAGTCCTATATTTAGCCCGAGGCATGTATGATCAGCTTTTCTTTAAAGCAATGACCTGAACATTTTTTTACTTGCTTTTCTTGCAAAAATGTTCCATGTTGATGAGTAGGACCAGCTTCAACTGGTCAGCAGGTTTGACCATTTGAATGTATTGTCATACACCATTGTGAACTGGCTCTTAGAGCTTAGGAGATCTGCTCCTGACTCATGGCCCTCTGCCCACCTGGCACCACATCGCTGCTGTTTTACCCCCTTATACCCTGCTGCAATGGCCCGTGGGAGAGGCTGTTTACTTGCCTCTCTCCATCCCTGGAGACGTCCGATGTGCGTCATGTTTTGTGCATCTCGTCATGCTCGTTTTTATTTCCCATCTACCCTTCTTCCACATTCCCCCTCCCACACCACTCTCTCCTTTCCCGCTTAGCTCACCAAAATGTTTTTACATGGCTTTCCTAGCTGAGCATTAATGTGGGAAGATTTGTTATGTTAGTCAAAGGCTTTGTTTACATGGGACTGAAGGGATAATATAGTACAGTGTTGAATATGGTGATAATGACAGTGATTATGCGCTGTAGTAAACTGTTAGACTAAAGCCTGCTCCGAGGGACTGCTACCAGCTCCAAAATTCCCATACAACCCCTGATTATCATAATAATACTAAGACCTATAATCTAGAGGAGTCAACCCACCATGCTCCTGCTCGCTGGGTTTCTCCCTGTCTTTCCCCACTCTCGCTGTTTGAGAGCACTTGTGTTTGCTGTTCTTTAGATATGAAATGAGTCAGCCTGATCCGCTCTCCATATCTGCCTCGTTTTCATGTCTTCACATCCAAGAGAGGAAAAGAGTGCATGAGTAGACACCGGATGACTAGGCCCAGACAGAATCTGCTGCTTTTTTCCCCATTTTTATGCAGAATGAGTTTAAAAACAATAAAATGTGTTCAGTTGAGCTCCTGGAGATCTACCTACCTGCAGATTTCAGTTTCATCCTCGCTCTAACACACCTTTCTGTAATTAACAAGTGCTCCTGAAGATCTTAGTTAGCTGGTTCAGGATTGTTTGATCAGGGTTGGTGTTGAAACTGCAGAAAGGTAGATCTCCTGGAACATGGTTGGGCTCCCTGTTCTTTGATTGGACAAAAATGTGTAAATGCCCACGGGTGCAAGATGAGTCGTCAGTATATTTGGTTGGTTTTCCCAGTAGAGAAAGTGCATTTTAAATGTGTATATCTTCTAAAAGTTCAATATTTAGGAGTACAAAACTACTTGACGTGGACAGAAAGTCTCAAAACTGTCATTTATGTGTCATGGGGTCTTTGATAATGGAACTCAAGGGACTGGAGATGTCTTCAACTTTGTGATTGAGATGTGTTCCAATTCTGCAGAAATCTTGAGTTTTCTGTAAGCGCAGATTCTGTATGGGCCTGTGAGACTGAGAGGAACTATGAAAGGTCCTCTTTCCAGACACCCATCTCTTGTCCCTCTCCACAAAGGTGCCATCGCACTGGCCTGCACTCCTGTGATCTGACAGTCTGTCACCTTGCTGTCAACCCAATCCTCAGCTGGGGCTTGGCACCAGAGATCCCGAGGCATGACCTCTGATCACGAGCTGTCCCCCTCTGTAGCACAGGAGCTTCGCTTTTAGAGCCACATGTTGACTTGATGTCCAGATAGTAGGATAGATATAATAAAAAGAGAGAGAGAGAGATGACCAAGTCATTCATTGCTGTCAAAACAACATGAAGCATCAGCCCTGGGCAAAGCACCCCACCTGCTTGGTCACACTGCGTCTGACAGGCAAAGAGAACCCCTGGAGGTAAATGACATGTTTTATTGCTATCCCTCAGTTGCTGAGCGATCAACACCTTCCTGTAACATGGAAGCATTTTAACACCACCACAGCCACTGAACGAGGGACCATCCTGACAGAGCTTGCTTACACCCTTTTCCATCGAAATGGTGCTTGTGTTAGAAGGATGTGTGAACGTCTTTTACAACTGGCCCATAATGTACCTAACTATGTTACTATGTAACCTGTCTATGGACAAACAGTGCTTCTACGTCTTTTAAAGTGCGGTCACATTAACCTTTGCCAAATGTCACAGGCAAAATCCAGTAGTTTCAATAGGAATTGGTGCAATTTGGAATTCTGCATAAGAAC